AGCCAGTTATTACCAAGAGTTTCAAAATATAAAACAGTTCAAACTGGAGCTGCTTTGATCAAAGGTAAAGAGCTCAGGGCCCTCTCTTCTAACCTTTCTCTCCCATCTCACCACCGCTGCTCCCACAGATGCTGGAACTTAACACCACAAAAATTATGACCCATCTACCCCTCCTGTCACCAGTGAGGAAACTGAAATCCAAGGGAACGTGACCTCATATTAACTAATCACATCTGCAGCAACTCTGCTTCCCAGTAAGGTCACATTCTGAGATACCGGGGGTTAGGACTTCAACATATGAATATGGGGAACACAATTCAACTGCGTCCTGCCCTGTTTGGATGAAGGTCTTGACCAAGCCAAGGAAGCTCCTGACACCAGGTTCTTAAGGAAAAGATGGGAGCCTATTTGACCACTGCTGGGAAGAAGACAGGAGAGAGAGGGGGCGTGTGTAGAGAGATGTCCCTGAGAAGGCATTGTAGCCAGGTAGAGGGATAAGCTTGAGCACTACAGGAGACCCTGGCTGTATTGTCACAAGGAGGTGGGGAGGAGAAAGGGATGAGTTTGGATGCAAAGTGAATCTGCAGATGGAGAGGGGGAGTTCCCTTCAGATGGTGCCTGCCTTCTCTATGAAGTGGGAGGAGAGATTGCCTATTGAGGCTGACAATGGAGTTTGGGATTGGGGCTCAGTAGAGGGGCAGGCGATGAAACCAGAGACTTGAGGAGAGCAGAGGAAGTCTGAAATAGCCCTGTGCATAACAGACAACAGCACCCTATGTCTAGAGTAGGTACCCAATGTGTCATTACAGAAGAGAACCTGTTGTCATTATAATAGAAAAATGGGAGAATGGGAGGGTGAGCTGACCAGGAGAACAAGGAAGGGCTGCCTAACAGTAACAAGGGCCCAGATGGTGTTGGTGACCACAGTTTATAATGGCACCATCTGCAGGGTGTGTGGTTTTTCCAGCAATGCTCAACAGCTGGGCAATTGAAGTAGAGAAAGTAAACAACTGAGTTCATTCAGGGCTGGGCTTTGCCCAAGAGGATGCACTAAAAGGAGAAAGTGGCAAGGAGGTTGAGGATATTTGTAAGAGGAAGAAAGCTCAGAGGCCCAAGTTGTTGGAGAAGGAAGTGTGAAGTGAGGAGGCTATGCCTATTTCTGCTGAAGAGGCTTGAGCATATCCTTTGTTTTCTGTTGACCACAGTGCATGGTTATTGCTGCCTCCTGTAGGAACAGATGTTACCAGATGTGATGTGCTAATGAGCTGCAAGCTGATGAGCTTCCCAGCTGATCTTCCTACTCTAAGGTGGTCCTGACTGGTTGCAGCTGGGTAATTCAGCGATTTGTGCCCAGTGCTGTCACAACTGTCAGAGCATGCACTGGGGATATACATACCCCTGTGAAAGGATGTCAATACCAAATGCATATTTGGCATGTTGGTTCACCAGCTAGGTCAGTCTGCTAATCTGAGTGTCATTTCCAAATGCTGTAAGGGCCAACCCTGTTTATTTGAATTTGATTACTGTGAATCTTCCAAGGCTACAGATTTTCTCTTAGCTACCATATTTCAAATAAAAATGTGGGTATTATTCTAAATATTGCAGTTATTGTTATATACTTCTACTGATGCTATTAGCACTCAACGTGGAACTCCAAGTTATTAGAATCACTTTGGTATATTAACATGCAAATAACAGAAATTTAAGGAAAAAAAACATTTTAGTAGTGTACTTAAAATATTCCTAGTACAGATTGGTTAAAACTAAAAAATGAAAACTAAAAAACAAACAAACAAACAAAAAAACAAAACATTTTCAAGAGCAATGGGGACTCTCATACTCTGCTGGTGAGCATACAAATTAGTACAACCACTTTGGAAAAAAGTTTGACATTTTCCATTAAAGTTGAAGATATGCATATCTATCATCCACCACTTCCATTTATATGTATATGCACAACAAAAATAAAGATCTACGTAACAGTATTATTCATGATGGCCTAATATTGGAGACAACTCAAGTGGCCATGAGCATTAAAATGGATGAATATTCATACAATGGAATACTAAACAACTATAAAAATTAAAGGCTAAATGATAGGCAACAAGATAACTGGATTTCACAGACATAATGCTGAGAAGAAGCCAACATAAAAGAATACTAGTACATACTGTATGACTCAGAATTTCAAAAGCAGTGGACAGGAATGCAGACTTAAGTGGGTAAAGTATAAAAGTATAAAGAAGGGCACAGAGGGGATTTTCACAATAGGATCTTTACTTTTAAGCAGGCTCACCTCTAACATTTGTGGGGCTTAAATGGAGAACTTCATATCAAAGGCCTAAATATTTAAACTTGTAAATTAAACTTACTGGCTATTAAATGAAAGATATTCTACCTTCCTACCTCCACAAATATCTCAGCATGGCAATCTGGAAGGCAAGATAGACTTTAAAATTCTTAGACTGCTTAGACCTTCTCACTAGAACATGTGACACAAGGAGAAGCCGTCCCCAGACCCCGGGGACCACCCACCTTCTCCCCCCCATAATCTCTCCGTCCCATCAATTCATGTATGTACATTCCCTAGTCTCAAAGTCTAATCTACATCCACAGCTCCTCAACCCTCAGGAAGGTAGACCTGAGGAAGAGGCCTGGAAGACCTGAAAGTGGGTATATAGACTCATTTGGACAAGGAATCCAAATGTCCCTGTACTTGGTCCATGGTTAGAAAAGGTATCATGGGTCCCAGATAGACATGGCCTCTTGGCCATACGAACTCCTCTCTCCTTGGAAAGGGACACAGCTGGGGGAGGCTAGAAGTTCAAAAACAGAAGGCCCATCCTGGCTGGCAAGGCTCAGTGGTTGAGCATTGATCTATGAACCAGGAGGTCATGGTTCAATTCCTAGTCAGGGTATATGCCTGGATTGTTGGCTCAATCCCCAGTATGGGGTCTATGTAGGGCGTGCAGGAGGCAGCCAATCAGTGATTTCTCATCATTGATATTTCTATCTCTCTCCCTTCCTCTCTTAAATCAATTTTAAAAAATACAAAACCCAACACAAGTTCTCCTGCATGGGGCTTAGAGCAGTACTGCATATAGAGAAAAGAGGGGGGGTGTATTGGGAAGGGCACCCAGAAAACTTCTGGGTCCTAGCAGCATTCAATGGCTTGACCTGGGTGGCAGTTACATTCATAACAATTTATTAAGCTCTACATTTGGTTTATACAGTTTTCTGTAGGTGTGTTATATTTCACAATAAAGTTTTATGAAATCT